TTGTGAATTATATTGAGTTAAGTTTTGTGTGGTTTGAACAAATGTATAAATAAGCAAATATCTCAATTCTGTAGTTTTTTTTTTTCTTTTTGGGTTACACCCAGCGATGCCCAGATGTTACTCCTAGCTCTGCATTCAGAAATCACCCCTGGCAGTGCTCAGGGGACCATATGGGATGCTGGGAATTGAACCCGGGGTGGCCGCGTGCAAGGCAAACGCCCTACCCGCTGTGCTATTGCTCCAGCCCCTCAATTCTGTGATTTATTATCTGTGTTTCATATGGTACTTATTCCAGAACCATTTGTCAAATAGACATTCCTCTCCATTATTGAATTGTTAAGGCAGCTTTCTTGAAAAATATATACGTATTTAACATATATATTAAATTTGCATTAATACATATTAATATATCAATATATAGATAAATAGATAGATAGATATCCTCCTGAGCCTGCCGGGAGTGATCCCTGAGTGCAGAGCCAGGAGTAAGCTCTGAGTACCACTGGGTATGGCCCAAAATCCAAGATTTATAAATAAATCAGACTTGTTTGGTTTTAATTTTGATATGTTCAGTCTATAGCTGTGTTGTCCAGTTTATAGCTATCACTGCTTGTATGAAGTATGACCAGTTTGAATTGTTAGGTGCTGTAATTTTAAAATATACAATGGACTTTAAAAACTAGCTGAAAAATGTTGCAGATAGTTTAAAAATATTTTTGTGGTGACATTGAAATAATATTCTAGATATTGTATTAAATGAAATTTATTGATTGGATTTCACTTGTCTAAAATTTTAGTTTTTATTTGCTACTGAATAGAAATATGTTGAAGTTTTGTGCATTGATTTTATATTTTGTTACCATTCTAAAGTAATTTATGACTTACAATAGTAATTCTGTGGATTCTGTTAGGAATTAGATGGGTCTTCTTAAATAGTGCCCAGGAGGGCTGGTGATTACGTCCAGTGATACTTAGCTTTGTTAGTTAATTGGTAGGATCTGAGAATACGGTGCTTTTTGCTATTTGTGTTTTGGATTTTATTTTTGTTATGTGATACTCATTTTTTTTTGGGGGGGTCACACCCGGCATTGCACAGGGGTTACTCCTGGCACATGCACTCAGGAATTACTCCTGCCGGTGCTCAGGGGACCATATAGGATGTTGGGAATCAAACCCGTGTCGGCTGCATGCAAGGCAAACGCTCTACCGGCTGTACTATCGTTCCAGCCCCATGTGATATTCTTATATTGTGATATTACTTAAAATGTTTTGATTATATGATATTCTTATCCAGTTCTAATTTCTCTTGCTTCTTTGTCTTCACACATAAGTACTGTAAAAGTACTTTTGTTTGTTTTGGTTTTGGGACATATCGAGCGATGCTCAAGTGTTAGTACTGACTGCACTTCGGAATTACTCCTAGGGAGTAATTGGGGGACCATATGGGATGCAGGGGATTGAACCAGGATTTGTTGCATGCAAGGCAACCCTAACACGTATATCTCTTGGGTCCTAGGATTGCAATTTTTTAGAAAAAAAACTCCATGGTTCTTCATTTCTAGTCTGCGTGTGCGCACGTGTGTGTGTGTGTGTGTGTGTGTGTGTGTGTGTGTGTGTGTGTGTGTGATTTTTGAACTACATTTGGCAGTGCTGGGGATCAAAGATACTTGAGTTGTAATAGTGACAAGCACCGTAACCCTTGTGTTATTTATCCTGCCGATTCATTTTTGGTCTTTTCATCAGTTAATATTTGAGAAATAGAAAAATGATTCATGAGCCAAATAAGATTTCTAATTATATTCAATGTTGATCTAATACTGTTGCATATTTATCTCTTTCTGGAGATCAGGGGGGCAGTGGGCTCTTTGCTCTGTGCTCAGGGGTCTCAGCTGATGCTTGAAGGATCATAGGTAGTCTAGGGAACAAATCAGGTCAGCTAGTGCCTTAATTCTTTAGTCCTTCACATTCGTTTTCAATATTAAAAAAATTGTATGTATTCCTTCTTAAATAAGACATTAGTCTTCGTAGGTTTTCAGTGTTTATCACCCTGCACCCTTTACCCTTTGGGAAAAAATGGTTTGTATCTGCTTGCCTTCCTCTCTTTCTCCTTCCCTCTGCAAGGCTATCACCTTTATCCCTAGGCAATTTCTCTCGTCTTCAGTCCCTATAAATCCTTTTGGATAATACATAGCCCTAACTGCCAATAGATTTTGGTGTTTTTTTTTTGGGGGGGGTCACACTCAGCGATGCTCGGGGGTTACTCCTGGCTCTGCACTCAGAAATTACTCCTGGTAGTGCTTGGGGGACCATATGGAATACCAGGGATTGAACTTGGGTCAGCTGAGTGCAAGACAAACACCCTACCCACTGTAATATCGCTCTGGCCCCTACAAATAGATTTTGTTTTGTTAATACTAGTTCTGCACTCTGGGATCACTTCTGGCGATCACAGGTGTCAGGTTTGAACCCAAACCTCTGGCATGCAGAGTGGTCAGTCCTCTGAGCTATCACCCCAGCCCCTGGTGAATGTTTTTTCCCCTCCACAATTAGCACACAGAAAAAGGAAAAGGATTTTCCAAGTCATTAAGTATTGACTCTTTTTTTTTTTCTTTTTGGGTCACACCCGGCGATGCGCAGGGGATACTCCTGGCTCTGTGCTCAGGAATTACTCTGGCAGTGCTCAGGCGACCATATGGGATGCTGGGAATCGAACCCGGGTAGGCCGCGTGCAAGGCAAACGCCCTACCCGCTGTGCTATTGCTCCAGCCCCAAGTATTGACTCTTAATTGTATCAGAATGAGGATCAAAGCAATAGTACAGTCTTAGAATTTTTTTTCTACTTTCTCATACTATAGAAAGAAAGAATTCCTGCTTTTCTAATACATTGTGGACATAGTGTTTGGTGTGGGGGCCACACTAGGCTTTACTCAGGGCTTATTCCTGGCACTGTGTTCAGGGGTGAATCATGGTGGGGCTTGGGAGGACCATCTGCAGTGCCAGGAATTAAACCCAGGTTGGTCATGTGCAGCACAAACACCTGTTGTACTATCTCTCTGACTCAGAATGTTCATTTTGTAATTAACTTTCTTCTCTGTTAACAAGATTTTGCAGCTATAAACTATACATGTCTTTATTTTACTTTTTGAAGGTACCAGTGATTAAACCTTGAATCTTACACATAAGTAGTTTGTGCTGAACCATCCACCATCCTATGAATCTGTATCTTACTACTGACTTCTGAAACATAAAAATAAAATATGTACCTCTTTGTCATTAAACTTGTTTTTCTGACTTTTTTTTTTCTTTTTGGGTCATACCCAGCGATGCTCAGGGGTTACTCCTGGCTCTGCACTCAGGAATTACTCCTGGCAGTGCTTGGGGGACCTTATGGGATGCTGGGGATTGAATCCGGGTTGGCTGCATGTAAGGCAAACACCCTACCTGCTCTCTTAACATTCTTTTCTTTGCCTTATTTGTGTTTGTGTGGGGGAGAGGGGGAAGGATAGTGTTGTCACACCTGTCAGTGCTTGGAGGCCATGATGTACCAGACATTGAACCTGAGGCATCTTCTACATGCAAAATATTTGCTAGGGTCTTTTGTGCTATCTCCTTGGCCCTTGGTGTCTTCTCCCCTCCCGTTCCCCCCACCCCCCCATGTTGCTCAGGGGTTACTTCTAGCTCTGTACTCAGAAATTACTCCTGGCAGTGCTCAGGGGACCTTATGGGATGCTGGGAATTGAACCAGGGTCAGCTGTGTGCAAGGCAAGGGTCCTCCTTGCTGTACTATCTCTCTGGCCCCTGTATCATCATTTTTAATGACTGAATATTAGTCTGTTTTATGATTCACCACTTTATTTTATTCCTTTTTTGGGGGTAATTCAGCTTTTTCTGACTTTTTTCTCTTATAAACAACATTGGGGATGGGGAAACATATCCTTGGTCTTTTCTTTTGGAAGAATTTACAGTAGTAGGGACCAGAAGGATAATTCAGTGGTAAGGTGCTTGTCTTGCACATGGCTTACCTGGGTTTGATCCCTGGCACTTCATATTGTCCCCATGAGTTCAGCAGGAGTTATTCCTGAGCATAGAGCCATGAGTAAGCCCTGAGCACTGCTGGATGTCACCAAAGAAACAACAAAACAAAACTGCTATTGGAGGCCATGCAAGGAAAGTCTTGTGGTTGCGAAAATATCCAGGTTTGTACTTCCTATATAAATCCCACCAAAAAACACGCCCTTCTTTAAAAATCTTTAATTTTTTGTTTTGTTGTGTTGTGTTTTTGGGTCATTCATGAAAGTGCTCAGGGCTTACTCCTGGCTCTGTGCTCAGGGATCATTCTTGGCAGTGTTCCGAGGACCGTATGTGGTGCCAGGGATCAAATCTAATTGCTTGAAGGTCAGATGCCCTAACCATTATACTACTGCTCTGGCCCCTAAAATCTTCAGAATTTTGGCAACTAATGTGCTTTATTGCGGATATAAATTTAAGGTCTTTAGGCAGCAATTTTTGCTCCTGCACTTGTCTCGAGACTTACAAGAACACTGATTGAGGTACCAGTGCCCTGACAAATGTGTTACCACTCCAGCAACGTTTGAATCAACACTCGCTTAATTGTATGCTCAATTATTAATTACTGTTTGATGGATGCTTTTATTTCAAATAAAACTAATTTCTTTGAATGATCACTGATGGAAACAAAGACAGAAAAATCAAGAAATTCATGGAAACACAAGCTGTATAAGTAAGAGATTTAAACTTAAAGAACATTGTGTGCCTAAAACTTAGTCAACAGTATTGTAAATCCTGGTGCCTACATAAATTTTTTTTAAATGTCTGATTAAACAAATATTGAACAGCTAATAAAAAGCTTACAGCAGTGAATGAAGAGGAAGAATTTTGAAATCAAGTCTGGGCCTGCTGGGAATGTATACATTTCTTAAAATGTGGCATGAGCTGAAATAAACTATAGTTACAGTTTTTTTTTTCTTTCTTTGTTCTAGGTATCTCATTCAGTTGCAAAACTTATATTAGTTAACTTCCACTGGCAAGTTGCAGAGATTTTGGACAGGTAAGGTATTTGGGGGAGAAGAGATGTTATTATCTAATGAGTGGTGGTTATAATTTACATTTTAGAATATATCCTTATTATTATATACATTACATGTGGGGGTGGGATATTGGGCCACACCCACTGGTGCTCAGGACTTAGCCAGTAAGTGGAAGGCAAGCACACTACCTGATTTACATAGGTCCAGCCCCTGGAGTTCAATAATTTTTTTATTTGTGTGGAGCTGCAGCCAGTAGTTCTCAGGGCTTACGCTTGTCTTTCTACTTGGGACCATAAACAGTTCCAGGGATCTAAATGTGATCAAGCACATGCAGGGGCAAGCCCCTGAACCCTGTACTATGACTTTGAGTTGAAGTTCCACTCTGCAGTAGATTTAGTACTACCCAAAACTCTGAAACTGTGTGAGTTCCAATAATGTGGCATCTCTATGGGAAATGTACACTGGTGAAGGGATGGCTGTTGGAACATTAAATAAACTGAAACGCAATCATGAGCAGCCTTGTAACTGTGTATCTCACTGTGATCCAATTAAAAAAAATAATAATGTGGCATCTCTCAGATATAAACTCCTAAAAGAGAAGATTTAGATGGGGTTAATGATAGCGAGGATACTCTTTTAAGAACTAGAAATAAAAATAATTGGAGTGAGCAATTCTGACTAGTGTAAGGAAGGAAATTACATGTATGATACATATTCTCTGCTTGGAATTCTTGTTAATGGTTCTTCTTTTTGGGGGGTTTTTGGGTCACAGCCAGCTAGGTGCTCAGAAACTCTTGGTTTTGTGCTTAAGAGTGACCCCTCTGGAGGCCTGAGCCTACAGCGGGTAGGGCACCTGCCTTGCATGCATCCAACGTGGATTTGATCCTGGCACCCTATGTGGTTCCCCCAAGCCTACCAGGAGTGATCCCTGAGTGCACAGCCAGCAGTCAGCCCTGCACACTGCCAAATGTGGTTTTCCTCTCCCCTTCACCCCACCTCCAAAAGATTAACCCCTGGCAGCGCACAAGGGTTTTTAAGCAGTGCTGGGATTGAACTAGGTCGTCTTCTTGCAAGGAAATTTCCTTAACCCCTATACTATCTCCCCAGCCCCTGGATGTACTTTTATTGCCACATAGTAAGTTTTTTTTATCTCTAAATTTAGTTATGCCAGGGGTCAGAGATAGTATAGTGGGTAAGGCTCTTGCCTTGCATGCAGCCACCATGTTGGATCCCAAGGACCATGTATGGTTCCCCAAGACTGTCAGGAGTGATCCCTATGTACAGAGCCAGGAGTAAGCCCTGAGCACCACCAGGTATGTGCCCCTCCCCACACTTCGCCCCCCTCGCCCCCAAATAGTTAATATCGTACTACTTTGCAAGAAAGGATTAGATTTTTATTGAGAATTTTTTTTTCTTTTTGTTTTTGACCCATACCTGACAGTACTTAGGGATCTCTCCAAGAAGGGCTGGGGCACCATATGGGGTGCCGGGGATCAAACTCAGATCAGCCACGTGCAAGGCAAGTACTTACCCATTGTACTATTGCTCTGGCCTGAGATAGTTCCTTTTAAATTAAATTAAATTTATTTATTTTGGGTTCTGGGACACACCTAGCAGTATTCAGGGCTTACTCCTGGCTCTGCACTCAGGTATTACTCCTAGTGGGTTTGGGGGACCATACAAGGTGCTAAGGATTGAACCTGGATTGGCTCTGTGCAAGGTAAATAAACCACTTGTTATACTATCTTTCCAGCCCCAAGTTGGTAAGGAGTAATTGACACCTGGGGCCAGAGAGCTAATATAGTGCCTTGAATGCAGCAGTCTTGAGTTTGATCCCTGGCACCCCATAGGGTTCCCTGAGCTAAGAGCCAGGAATAAGTCCTGAGCACTGTGGGGTATAGATCACCCACCCCCAACAACAAAAAAAATAGTAAACACCTAACCTTTAAGCTTCTGGAAACCCCTCTGAGGATACCTTAAATTTGGTATTATACATTCTTTAGTTATGCGTTTAGATTTGTGTATTTTTAGAACATAATAGGCATGAAATCGTGCTGTATGTTCTCCTGAAATTTATTTAGGTTGCTGTGGATGGAAATGAGGGTCTTGTACATGTGAATCATGTAGCTCGACCATTGACCTCTATTTCCAACCCCTGTTTCACCCTTTTTTTTTTTGAAGTAAATAGATTTTATTTAGAGGATTTTTAGGTATGGAGGGAGAGAGAGTGAGAGAGAGTAACGTACTCAAGAGAGAACATGGGCTTCTCCAAGGGCGGAGAGAGCCCCTACACACATCTTAGCATTAGACACAAAAGCATGAAAGTACACATCTCTAGAGGGGAGATGCGGGCGACACATGTGCTCGGGCACCACATGTGTTCGGCCACGTGGGCGCAAGCAGCACATGGGCTCGGGTAGCATATGCGCCTTCACCTTATTTTTTTTAAACGTCATCTTTTTAAGTTACAAGCTCACATTTTGTGACATCATAACCGTTCTTTTTGGCAAAACTGATTTGTAAATTTTTTTGTTGTTGTTGTTTTGCTATTACATTTCTGAGAAACTCTTTACATGATTCTAGAATCATTTGATATTTTTAGGGTTCAGTAGTTGCTGCGTTGAAAGGTCAATGTTTTTTAATTTTACTGAATAATGCCGAAAATTGTACCAAAGTGATTGTTTAACATATGCCTGCCCACCAGTAATGAGTAAGTGTTCCTATTACTCTTAGTTTTAAAGTATTGTGCTGGTAGGTATAAATGGTATCTAATAGCTTTTAATTCCAGTTTCCCACATTATCAAGGATGCCAAACATCTTTTCATGTTTTGTTTTAGTGTGGGGATTTGAGCCCAGGTCCTCACAACATCTTTAATATTTAAAGGCCATTTGTGTTTCTTCTGAAAAATTTTTTTAAATTTTATTTATTTATTGAGGGAAGGCTCCCAAACTGTTCAGGAGGCTCGGGGGCCACTCTTGGTAGTTTACCCAACTCTGTGGACAAATGATTCAATACTTTGTCAGCAATGAAGTACTGCTCCCACCCAATACTGCTTAGGGGCACCCTGGACCTTGATAGCTATACCCATCAGTACCTGAGTTGGGGGACAACTAGTGTTGTAGTAGTAGAGACCAAACTTGGGGCCTTGTTCATTAGATTTCTAATGCTGGTTTTGTTTGAAGGTAAAAAAAAAAATTTCTTCTTTATCAGTTTCTAATTTTCTTTATTTCTGCTTTTTGTTTTATAGATACAAGTCTAATTCTGCTCAACTGCTTGTTGAAGCTCGAGTTCAACCTAATCCATTGAAACATGTGAGTGTCTCCTAATTTTCTCTTCTGTTTTGTTTTGTTTTGTTTTTGGACCACACCTACCATGCTCAGGTCTTGCTCCTGACTCTACACTCATAGATCTCTCATGGCAGGCTCAGGGGACCATATGGAGTGCTGGGTTGACTGAGTGCAAGTCAGACTCCCTATGTGCTGTACTATTGCTCTGGCACAATTCTTCTACTTTTCTTTATGCACGCGTTGATTGCTCTAAGTTGCTGTGTTTATCTAGAACCATATTATTGCATAGTTCAGCATACTTAAAATATTGTTCTATATCTGTCTAAATCTACCATTTCCTTTATAGTTTGAAAATTAGTAGATGGATAAATTATTGCTTGCCCAGTAGCCCATTTAGCTTTAGTCATAAACATCACGTATTCCATTCCTGTTGCATTCCCTAACTCACGCTGTGCTTTTTTGACATTTGTGTCTACAGTCACCTGCAGTTTAAAAGACCCAAGTTTAAGATTTAAAGATGTAGCTCAGGTGCCGAAACAGTAGTACATCAACCACCTGGTTGGGCATTTGCCTTGCACTGTCCCACCTGGGTTTGACCCCGACATCCCATATGGCCCCTAAGTGCAGGGCCAGGAATAACCCCTGAGCATTGCCAGGTGTGACCCAAAAAAATAAATTAAAAAATAAAGACGTAGCTTGGTGGTAGAGATACATACCTCTCCTGTATGAGGTTCTGGGTTCCATTTGTGGAACTGAAGATGCAAATCTAATCCAGCTATCTCTTAGAAATCTTTGTTACAAAGTCTGTCTCTTATGAGTACTTCTCTTCTATTGTAACTACAGGAGTAGTTACAACGTTAAAACTTTTTTTTTTTGCTTTTTGCTTTTTGCTTTTTGCATTTTGGATCAAACTTGGTGATGCACAGGGGTTACTCCCAGCTCTGCATTCAGGAATTACTCCTGGCGGTGCTCAGGGGACCATATGGGATGCTGGGAATCGAACCCAGGTCAGCCGTGTGCAAAGAAAACGCCCTACCCACTGTGCTAGTGCTCCAGCCTCCGCTGTTAAAAGTTTTCTTTTCTTTCTTTTTTTTTTTTTTTTTTAAGTAGGGACAAAGTAGTGCTTGTGGGCTGCCTACTTGTAGTGCAGTGCTCTGGGACCATGCTGTGCCAGGAATGAAGCTGGAGTTTCCTCAACAAAGCAGACTGTTTGCTCCAGCTCTTGAGCCATCTCTCTAGATCTTATCTTTAAATATTTACGTTTATATTATAGTAATTTTGGGGTAGATTTGGGGGCCACACCTGACTACTTAGTACTTCCCCTTGGGAATTTCACAATTCACACATTGCAGTTGAATGACACTTTAAGGGTTAAGATCCCTGCCTGTGGTTCATGCTTTGTCTCTCTCTCTCCCCTTAGGTTACCACAGCCCATCCCCCTCACCATTGTGCAGTGTGTATGCAGTTTGTGCGGAAGGAAAACCTACTCTCTTTGGCGTGTCAGCATCAGTTTTGCCGCAGCTGCTGGGAGCAGCACTGCTCTGTGCTTGTGAAGGATGGTGTAGGTGTGGGTAAGTCTGCCATAGAACTTGGAAAAGATTGACCTGGAGTATTATCTCTGCCTCGTCCGTTCAGATACTTAGATCAACGAAATTTTTCTTTTAGCCTTCTAGAGGTTTTTGTTTTCAAAACCGTTGGGGGATTTTGTTTGGTTTTAGAGGGTAGGTGCACACTCCGAAGTGCTTAGGGCTTATACCTGACACTGCTCAGGTATCACTCCTGGCAGTCATGGGAACCATATGGGACGCTGAGGATTGAACACCGGGTTGGCCTTGTCACACAAGAAACCTGCCCTTTGTAGTATCTCTTCAGCTTCAAGAAAAATCAGTCTGAGTAATGACAGTTTTCCCTTAGTTCTCAACTAAATGGGAAAATTTAAGTCTATTGTTTGGGCATATATGTAAATAACAGTATCAGTGTGCGGGGGTGTGGGAGCAACACCTGGCTGTATGTGGTCTGGTAATTAAACCAGGGTTGGCTGTGTGCAAAGCAGGCAGGCACCTTAACTCCTGTACTGCGTCTCCAGTCCTGATTTGGTTTTTTACTATTGCTATATTTGGTATGTATGCAATTTGGGATAATATGCTAGTCTATAACTACAGGTATATTGGCTTATTCATTTGAATAAATTCTGTTGCTTCAGGGGGTTCCTGTGTGGAGTCTAAATTATTTGGATAAACTAAGTGGGCAAATATAGTTGTATCAGTTGTCCAACAGGTTGTTGTTGTTCAACAGGAGTCTCTTGTATGGCTCAAGACTGTCTACTGCGAACACCAGAGGACTTTGTTTTTCCATTGCTGCCCAATGAAGAATTAAGAGACAAATACAGGCGCTACCTCTTCAGGGACTATGTGGAGGTATGACCGGCTTTTATTGTTGTAACCTCTGTTTACTTACTTCCCACGGGTACTTTATAGACTAGGCTTTCTTAAAGCGCTGTCGTTTGAATAAAGACAAATGGGTTTACTAGAACTGCTGATCCCACATGGCATAATTTTAATTTTTTTCTTTATGTCCAGAGTTATGACTTGCTCAATATTGTATGAATAAAATACTTGTTTCTTATTCTCTTTTCTCCTTTTGAAAGATTCCTGAGGATCACTGAGCCTCTCAGAGTCTTATGTATAGCTTATTGGACTGTGTTTCCCTCCAGTCCTGATACCTATGCACCTTTCATCTCACAGATATGTATTCAGTTTTGTGATCTTACCTTACATCATCCTAGTAACTAGATGTCCTCTTTAGTATCTGGGCAATGTCTTCTGGTCTTTAGCACATTCATCCTGAATTTTTATAGATCCTTGATAAAAGGCATTCATTAGCTTGAAGAACAGAAGGCAGTTTGAGAGTATAGGGAGATCTAACCTGAAGGCAGCAACTAAAAGACTAAAAGGTCTCCTGATGGTTTCTTCTTGGTGTATTCACAGAGTCATTATCAGCTCCAGCTGTGCCCTGGTGCAGACTGCCCCATGGTTATCCGAGTACAGGAGCCCAAAGCTCGCCGTGTACAGTGCAATCGGTGCAACGAGGTCTTCTGGTAAGAATGAGTGTAGGTGCTGGCAAACCCTGGGTTTATGCCTTATTTCCTCCAAATTTCTACTTATGTTGCTCTGTGTGAGGGGGACTTTGGGGGAGAGACAGTGTTTTTGAGCTAGAAGTGTATTTCCACTCTGAGAGAGCAGGAGTTGGTACCTGGTTGTTTTATAATCGTCTTAAAAACAAAGTGCACATATTTTTGGACAATGTGTTATGGTTTATGTTACTAAGATTTTTGAGTCAGAGATTGTATGTACCTGCACAGATAATTACAATATTACTTTTTGAAAACTATAACATTCACCATTTTACTCTTTAGCTTGATCTTTCTTGGCTTTTTTTTTTTTTTAAGTATAACTTGGGGCCAGAGAGAGAGCTCAACAGGCTAGAGCACATGCTTTGCTTGCAGGGGGCCTAGATTTAATCCCGGGCACTGCATGGTCCCCCAACCACCCACCAACAGGGGTTGACTCCTGAGCACGGAGTCGGGAGTATCTCCTGAACACCACTGGATATGCCCCCACCCCCAAAAAAGTAAAAGTTTAATTCACACATGTAGTTTACATCTACTTAGGGTTTACTACACTTAATCTATTCAATAAATAAGATAGGAATAGCTAAAATATACTAAAGGATTAGCAGAGGAATGACATTATTGGTCACTTTGTTTTCCTCATTGTAACACTTGTATAATCAGTATGGTACTGTTTTTACCCATATGTTACTCTCTAGATGAGGAGTCTGAGATACAAGGTAATGACAGAACCCATGGTATAGGTTCACATCTGTCCTCCACATCATGCTTCATTTGAAGATTTATGGTGGGACTTAAGAGAAACTACATGGAAAATGTGGTGTGTGTATACATGTGCCTGCTTTCCAAGACCTTGTTGGAAAGGTTAACCACTAATGTAGGGGCCAGAATGATAATACAGAGGGTAGGGCATTTGCCTTGCACATAGCCGATGCAGGCTCAGTTTATTAGTACCCCATATGGTTTCTCAAGTCCCACCAGGAGTGATCCCGAAGCTCAGAGCCAGGAGTAAAGTAAGCCCTGAGCACTGCCAGGTATGGCCCAAAACAAAGGATTAAAAAGAAAAAAGCAACAAAAACACTAATGACCTATGGACATGGTTCAAAAGGCTGGAGCTCATGCTTTGCATATTAGAGCCTCATGTTCTATCCTTTAGTTCCTCATCCCAAGCATGCAGAATAGTCCCTAAGCACTGCCAGGTGTGACACCTTCCAAACACAAACAAAACCACTAATTTAGTTGTCTTTTATGTTCTCTTTTATTAAATTATTTTCCCCTAGGGAATTTGTTAAGCTCTCCCCCAAGAGCCTTTTTTGTCTTCTTTTATTTTGGGACCACACCCAGCAGTGCTTGGAGATGCACCTCAGTATTGAGGGTCATTCTTGGATGTACTTTGGGGAACATGCAATGCTAGAGATTGTTCGCAGGCCTCCCACATGCAAAGTATACACTCAGCTTTTTGAGCCCTATGTCCTCAGTCCCTGAAAGCCTTCTCTCTCCACAAAATTGTGTTGTATTGGATTAAAAGATATGAAAACATGGGAACCTAGACCCTTGAGTATATGGAGTATTTTTCTTTTCTTCATTATCAAGAGTCATAAGATGTATCACACCCCTACATTTTGCAATCTCTGGCATGTGAGTATCCTATATTCATATCTGATAAACTTAGGTTCCTAGAAGTGAATCTTGGTTCTTCGCTTGTCTGAGCAGAGGTCACCTCAGAACCCTTTGAGAGTCTGAACTCTGAATTTAAAGTATTTTCAGGAAGAGTTACATAGATATACTATATATTTTATAGGTATATGGATTTATTTATTGATTTTGGTTTGGGGGCCACACCCACTGGTGCTCAGAATTTAATCCTAGCTCTGCACTAGCTCTCTACTGGTGGAACTCCCTGTTGTTGGGTGCATGCAAGGCCAAATACCTTATCTCTTTTACTATCATTCCAACCCACACAACACATATTTTAAAAAATATTTTTTTTATTTGGGTTTATTGAGAGTATGTTTTAGAAGGGCTTTGTTGAAGAAAAGTTTCTACTGTATTTCAGTATATAATTCTACAGAAGTAAAAGTCCCAGAGGCCTTGAAGATGCCCCCCCCCTTTTTTTTTACCTCTTTAGAAAGCTCTAGTTCAGGATCTGTTGGCTTAGAAGGAAAATAAAAAATAAGGAACTCTGATCTGGCTTGTGCTTCTTTTTAATATCTTGCTTTTCTGTTTTTAAGTTTCAAGTGTCGTCAGATGTATCATGCTCCCACAGACTGTGCCACAATCCGGAAATGGCTCACGAAGTGTGCAGATGACTCTGAAACAGCCAACTACATTAGTGCTCACACTAAAGACGTAAGGATTATATCTTATCTGACATGGATCTGCCCTTGTTAGTGCTATAGAGCCTTTCCACCTGGATATAAACCATTTGAACCCTTGCTGGAGACTGCAGACCCTTGCCCTGACTTGATGGGGTTTACAATGATTTATCACAGTATGCATTGGGTGCATTTGTTTTAATACAACAACAAACAAACACTCTCCTCCTGTTTTTCATGTTGAAATACCTAGAAAAGTTTACTGACCCACTGGAGAACTAATTTGGAGAAAACTAGGTCTTACTGAAAGTCTTCCAGGCTTTTAAGAGTCTGGGAGATAGGTGGTTGATAGCCATGCATAAATAGCAAGCTATAAAGCAAGCCCAGGCCTGGCCAATGCTCGTTCTGAAACTTCCCATGGGAATGCTTGACCAGCAACCTCTTAAACCCTGAATGACTCAGCACTCAGTGCTGCACCTGTGCCAGCCACACACTGACGCACTCGGAAGCTCTGCTGTGATCATAGCAGTGGGAAAATAAGGCATCTGACTGGTTTCTAGGTTGTATTGCTGGCAGCTCTCAAATGAGAGCCAGTGAGCTTTCCCAATTATTTCCTTGCCCTCTTCTAGAAGCGGAGATCTAGGCATTCCAACCAGGACTTAATCCAATGTGGTAGCTCTTGCTGCTTTGACATTCTTTCCAAGGAGTCATGCTTTCTGCTGACTCAGCTTGTGCTTAATCTGCGTGACGACCTGGCAAAGACAGATGGTAGAAGACTTAGTGGGTTCCCCTACTGCCTGGAATGTTTCAGAGCCAAACATGCTGACCTCATTTCCTTGAATTGCTATTCCAGCCTCAGCGACCTGCCACATTTAAGTGAGATGGCTCCTTCCCAGAAGTGCTCACACAATGAGCTTCTGGGCACGGGTGCCAGGAGCTTTGTGTAATTTGTCTTAGAACCGGCCTGGTGGTGTGTGAGCCTAATGGCGCCCTTCTGTCTCCTCAGTGTCCCAAGTGCAACATCTGCATTGAGAAGAACGGAGGCTGCAATCATATGGTGAGCAGAAGCTGTACCCTTTGCATGTGTGACATGGAGCCTTTGGTCAGCGTGCCCTTAACATGTTCTCTTCTGTTTCCCTCTGACAGCAATGCTCCAAGTGTAAACACGGTGAGTCCCAGGCTCGGTGCACAGGACCCAGTGGCACAGTGTATTTCTTGTGCTTGGGTCTCCATTGCTTGTTTAGTCAGAACTTCTGTAGTTTAGTGCCAGAACACAGAACAAAGTTACATATTGTGGCAGCATAAAGCAGCTCTGGATTAGTTATTTAGTTTTTGTGTTTGTGCTCAGGGCTTACTCCAGACTTTGTGCTTAGGGATCACTCTTGGTGGACTTGGGGAGACCATCAGGGGTGCCGGGAATAGAACCCATTTAGCCTCATGCCCTGCCCATTGTATTATCTCTCTTACCCAGTTCTTTCTTGCTTTTTAAATTTCTCTTGTACTTTGATTGCTATGTTTGAGATTACTGTTAGATTTTTATAAACACATGTCAGTAATCCAAAAATTTAGACTCTTAATTTTGCCAAGGTGGGTTAGTAGCATGGGGCTTATTTGTGCTACCTCTGGATAGCTTTGTTTGGAGTAAATAGTACATAATTTTCCTGAAGTGGTCTTTGTGGTGCTGTTATTTAGTGGAATTTAGTGTAATTATTTTATACAATAATTACATAAACCCTGTTGGCTTTTTCTGCTGGCCAAATGAAGTGAAGAAAAAAAATTATTTTAAGTATAAAGTGCCCAAAGGCTTTCCCATGTAGCTAGTTAATTACTGACCAGGTGGCCCCAAGAGTTTCTCTTTGTAAGAATCCAGCTAATGCTGTACTTATGTTTTTCCAGGAACTCACTCTAATGGACATGAAGGGTCTCAGGAGGGAAGTGATTCGGAAGTGTAAAGATAGGCCAAGAGTAGTAGCTTATCTCCTCGGGTATTTTGTGTGTGTGTGTTAGTTTGAGAGGAATGCGTATTATCCCTTTACAAAAGAGTATTGGATTGTTTAAAGATGACTAAAATAGAAATGATTGAAATTAAATTTCTAGTTTACTTCTCCTTTTCCTTGCACTGATATATATATATATTTATTTATAATTTAACTATCAATGTAGAAAAACCTAAGCAATGTATCATTTATTTATAATTGTCTCAAGTACAGCCCAGTTGTTGAAGGAGAGTATTGCCACTAATAATTGAAGGTTCCTGGGGCTGGAGCGATAGCGCAGTGGATAGGGCGTTTGCCTTGCATGCAGCCGACTCGGGTTCGACTCCCAGCATCCCATACGGTCCCCTGAGCACTGCCAGGAGCGATTCCTGAGTGAAGAGCCAGGAGTAACCCCTGACCATCACCGGGTGTGACCGAAAAAAAAATAATAATAATTGAAGGTTCCTAAAGAGAAGTGACAATCTCTGGGTCTTTGATTTTTAGCTTTAATGCCCTTAAATTTTATAAGAATTCCTTTTGGGAGGCAGTGAGATGATCTGTAAGAATTCTGGGAAGCTGTTTATTACTGCCAGGTTCTCTGGCAAAACCTGGCAGTGACAGAATATAGATGAAGTAGAAGAGGGACCTTGATCAAGTGGTCTCTCTTCATTAGACCACAGTCAGTTATTTGGTGGTGGAGCATCCACAGAGGATCTTAATATTTCTTCTTCACTTCTTCATCGTGGAAATAGAGTCAGAGCTCTTGAGTATGAACTTTCTAATCTGAGCATAAAGCTGTAAGTTTTATAGAAATGTTCTCTTCAAGAAACAAAAAGGGAAGGAGTGGGGAGCCTTTCTTCCCACATTAATGTACTGTATCTTAGTATAGTCACCATTAGGGTAGTGAGAGGTGAGCAGAGCGCAGAAGTATGTTTTGAGTGACCAGTGAGCCTCAGCAGCATCAGCTTCTGTTCTCTCAGCAGCATTGACAACAGACCAGTAGTCTTTGTACAGTTAGCATCTGCTCCTGTAATATTAAAAAAGCTTAGAGATATACCAGGAAGGTAGCTCAGAGGGCTATTGCCTTGCATGTAGGAGGCCTGAGTTCAGTTTCTAGCATCTTACTGTCCCCTGAGCACCACTGGGTGTGACCCCAAAACAAAACAAAAAAAGAGTTATCTGTTCTTGGAATTGAGAATACCTGTAAATTGAGAATGAACATTGGATTGGAAAGGACAGACTTTAGCTACAGTGGAATGTGACCTGGAGGGGGGGTTTCTTCTCTTTGGAAAGGGAAAGTCTCTGTTTCTTTCCAGGAAATCTCTTTCCAAAGTCTCTTTCCCTCTTGGAAAGAGACTTCTGGGGGGATGGGACGGGATGGGGGTATTCTGGTTAGATGACCTTCTTGGAACAGGATCTGTCAGCTGCTTTGTCTAAGCCTATGAAAGAAGATGGGTTTTGTGCATATAAAGGACCTTTATTTTTTCTCTTTTGTGCAGACTTCTGCTGGATGTGTCTAGGAGATTGGAAGACCCATGGCAGTGAATACTATGAATGCAGTCGGTACAAGGAGAATCCTGACATTGTCAACCAGAGCCAGCAAGCCCAAGCCCGGGAAGCCCTCAAGAAGTACTTGTTCTACTTTGAGAGGGTAGGCGGCCTGTCCTCCTGCAGCCGCACTTTGGAGCAGGCAGCGTGCTTCTGCTTGCCCTATTTGAATCGTGATCTGAAGGATAGCCAAGATCCATCATGTCGTCTTTTTCTTCCCACTGTATATACAATAGCAGTTCCCATATTTCTATTGCTCTATTGCTCCGTTTTTGTGTTTTGTTTTTTTTCTTTTTTGAGGGTATTTGCCTTGCATGCAGCCGACCTGGGTTCAATTCCTCTGCCCCTTTCAGAGAGCCTGGCAAGCTACCAAGAGTATCCCGCCCACACGGCAGAGCCTGGCAAGCTACCTGTGGCGTATTCAATATGCCAACAACAGTAACAACAAATCTCACAATGGAGACGTTACTGGTGCCCACTCGAGCAAATCGATGAACAACGGGACAACAGTGCTATTTTGAGGGGGGTGTGGAGGGGCAGGACTGTTGCGGCCACATCTGCAAGGAGTCAGATAGATCTGACTCCTGGCTCTGTGCTCAGGGATCACTCCTGGTGGGACTTGGCATACCATATGTGGGGTTAGGGTTTGGACTTATGTCCGCCATGTACATGGCAAGTATTATCCCATCAGCTTCTCCTATTGCCAGTTAATGGAACAGGCTGTAGCTTCACATATTTTGTTTGCTACAGCTTATTTTTGGGAGTGCGGGCTCATGGAGGGGGTCTCCCAAGCAGTACTTAAGGGAGCTCAGTCAGCCACTTCCAGTGATATTCTTTCAACTGAACTTGTGGTCCAATGGCAGGGCCTAAGGGTGCAGTGCTGCATGGGCCCTGTGGTACTGGGTTGGGTGTGTGCCTAACATCTGTACAAAATCCTCTGCAACTGCAGTGTATTTAAATAGGGGCACACCTGGGGTAGTTCTCAGGGGCTGTGTACCCTGTAATGCTTTACTACTCAAAGGGTCTTGCAATGCTGAGAACTAAATTCAAGGTCTTAACACATATCAGATATGTGCTAGTGTGTTCACATGAGCACATTAGATCACCTAATTATGCAGTTCTCTTTTTGTTGTTGTTTGGCTTTTTTGGGGTGGGCAGTTCCATACCTGGCAGTACTCAGGGGTTACTCCTGGCTCTACAGTCAGGAATTAATCCTGGCGGTGCTCCGGGGACCATATGCAATGCCAGAGATTGAACCAGGTAGTTCTGTGCAAGACAGGTGTCCTATCCACTATTCTCTCATTCCGGCTCCCTAACAATGCATTTCTCAGAGCACAGCTAATGTCAGATTTAGGGGGTGTTTAAAAGAGGGAGAACTTTTAAAAGCACAAAAAACATGGCACATATTCTAAGAACTAGGTACCTAAGAAGGTACCTAGCTTTATTTAATTCTCAGGGCTGGAGTCCTGTTGCTTTTTAGAAGTAGAGACATCTGACTTGTACTATTTCAGACAGGAACAGTAGAATGCACTGAAGTTCCCTTCTTGCATTTATCAGGATACACTGTCCCCATTAGGAGAGTTGTTGCCATGTTCTTCCGGCTAAGGTGTCTATTCTGAAGTCCTGTGTAGACCTCTCCATCTTTGTACCTCTGTATCTCTGTATCAGGACTTCAGCTATCTCCATTTCTCTGCCCTACAGTGGGAAAACCACAACAAGAGCTTGCAGCTAGAGGCCCAGACATACCAGCGGATTCATGAGAAGATTCAGGAGAGGGTCATGAATAATCTGGGGACATGGATCGACTGGCAGTATCTACAGAATGCTGCTAAACTTTTGGCCAAGGTTGGTACCACCTTACTAATTCCCAGACTAGTGCCTGGCCCTCTCAGGCCTAAGTCAGGGAGGCTTTATAAAGGACCCAGTGAGATTTGAATACTTACGCCTTAGAGTTCACATCTATAAAGAGTACTTCATCACCTTTACTACTTGGAAGACACTGTTGGGGAAAGTAGAGTCTGTTTCTTATTTTTTCTTATTATATTCATACATTATTCAAAAGAAAATAAGAGGTTATTTTGATCAAGTATGGAGATCGATATGTAGATTCTGATTTCTGACCCAAGGAGAAAGAACCTTTGATACAGAGACTTATAGAGATAGTACAGGGGCTAAGGTGCTTGCATTGTACACGGCAGGCCCTAGTTCAATCTCTAGCACTGTATATGGTCCTGAGCCCTGCCAGGAATAAGTCCTGAACATTTCCAGGTTTGACTCAGTCCCCCTCGCTATGAAAAATTATTTTTTAATAAAAAAGGAATTAAAGGGTACAGTGAGATAGTGTAGTGGTTAAGGCACTTTGCATTTTATCCGAGTTCAATCTCTGGATCTTCTTAAGATGCTTGCCTTGCACGTGGCCAACACCTGTTCAGTTCCTGGTACCATATGCATGCTCCCCACCTCCAGCACCGATGGGTGTGATCCCATTTCCCCAGCAGGCCCACCCAACCCACCCCTGGCAAAAAAAAAAAAGCCATTGAGGGAGCTGTCAGAAATAAGACCGTTGGGTCAGACACAGAGATAGAATAGTAAAGAAGGGTGTTGTTTTGAGTGCATCTGACCCAGGTTCCATCCCTGGTGTCCCATATGGTTTTCCAAGCCTTGCCATGTGTGGCCCAAAAACAAAACAAATACCAAAAATAAGTCCGTTTGAAAAAGGAATCATGAGGGGCTGGAGAGATAGTAGAGTTGATAAGACTCTGGAAGTGCATGATAAGCACTGAGAGATAGAACAGGAGATCAGGCACTTGCCTCATATATGGCTATGACAGTTGAGATCCTGGTTTAAATCCCTGGTACTGTATATGGTCCCTGAGCATCCTAGAGCCAGGAGTGGCCTTTGAGCACCATCAGGATTGGTCTAACTCCTTGTCTCTTTCCCCCCTCTCCCCACCCCCATCTTCCCCCTGGGAGAGGGGTTGGGGTGAGGAGGAGAAGCTGCATGAGGACTTGGGGGTATATGGCTTAGCAGTACGGCACTGGCCTGTGTAATGCCCTGGCTTTGATTCCTCTCCAGCACCATTAAAAACTAAAAAAAAAACCACTGAAACTTACAGAGATGCATCGAGATTACAATACACACAGTTGCTTTCTCTCCCTCCTTTTATAGTGTCGATATACCCTGCAATACACCTACCCATATGCATACTACATGGAGTCTGGACCCAGGAAGAAGCTGGTAAGGCAAAGCAGTCTTCTACTCTGCCCTCTCAAGCTTCAGAGATGCCCTTATCATTACTTTTACAATAGAGCAGGGGCCAACTGTGGTTGTTGGAAAGGCAAAAACTAAAATCAATTTAAGTGTAGCATATTATTTCTACTCTAGTTATCTCCATGATAGGGGATTCCTGTAGGTGTTTTGTAATAGTAAACCTTGAGTGGAACACAAATATATGACAGTTGACCGAAAAGGAATCTGGCCACTAGGGTGGCCAGTGCTTGTGTTTTAAGAGGAAATCCAGGGCCCACAGAAATAGTACAGTGAGTTGGTAGCTTGCCTTGCATGTAGCCGACCTGGGTTCAATTCCCAGTATCCCATATGGTCCCATGAGCACCACCGGGACTAATTTCTGAGTGTAGAACCAGGAGTAACCCCTGTGCATCGATGGGAGTGGCCCCAAAACCAAAATTTAAAAAATAAAAAAAGGAGGAAATACAGCATGTGTTCCTTAAATTATATGTAGTTGACTTAAAAGTTTAATGTTGCAGCTGTTACTATTTTCCAGGCTAATAAAAATAATTTTTTAATGATTGCGTAATAGTTTTTTACTATTATAGAATGTTTTTGAACATCCTTGTGCATAAACCTTTAGGTATCTAATTATGAAGTCAAATTTTGATTTGCAGAAGGGCTGACTGATCAGTTCTGAACACTTGAAGTGTTTATGAATATCCTTTTTGACCTATTTTTTGCAGCATCTATTTCCCTGTATGTTGGGGGCATTCTCTTCAGTGGCTTAAATTCTTCTCCTTTCTTTGGAGGTGGGTGTGAATGTGGCCTTGTCTTGAATGTGAATGTGACTACTTTCCAAGTAGACTTTGATTAGATTCTGACTCTGGGTACAGGAACTAGCACTGTCTGGAGCTCATGCGAGCCTGAGGTGCTGCGTCTGCCCCTCCGTCTGCAGGCCCTGCCCCGGCTACAGTCCCCTCTCCTTTTGACACTCCTGCTCTACCCATACAGTTTGAATACCAGCAGGCTCAGCTGGAGGCTGAGATTGAAAACCTGTCATGGAAAGTGGAGCGTGCAGACAGCTATGACAGAGGGGTAAGTGCCTGCTGCCTTTTTAAAAGCTGATGCAGGTGAGGGGGAACTGGAGTGGTTGGGCAGGGTTGTTGGCATGCAAACTGAAAGGGTGGGAACGGACAGTTTTCGATGTGGGTGTGGCTTTAACTGTTTCTGTATTAAAACAGGCCATGTAAGCACCCATTTGCTTCCTTGGTGTAGGACTTAGAGAACCAGATGCACATAGCAGAGCAGCGGAGGAGAACCCTGCTGAAGGATTTCCATGACACCTAGATTGGGACGTGGACATGCTGGAACGAGGAAGATGTGGCTGCAAAGTCTCCCGGCTGCCATACTGCATGCTGCAGGCTCTGCCTTTCACGACCCGGGCAACAGCCAGGGCCCCACTCCTGAGAGACACTGGCCGCACACCTCTTAGTCAGTTTCTGTTTTCTTCTCATCTTTCACTTTTTGTTTATACCAGGGTGGAGACTATGTTGAATTGGTCTCTTTTCAGGAGTTTTAATTCCCCCTGGATGGTTATTGGGAGGGAGGGAAAGTTTTTCTGAATGACTATTAATAGTATTAGATCATTACAACTTAATGTAATTTTTAAAGGTTGTTCAATTATACAAAAAGGGGGCAATCAAACCATAGAATTACATAGAACCCTTTTCAAAAATAAATTGGCGTTGGAGTGTTTTACCCTCTAGCTATTTCACTTAGAATGTAACGTATGCTGTCCACCCACCCTGCCCCAGAATGTCTACTATAAGAAGGCTGCAGGGTGGTCTCTGGTTTCCAGATTCTTGTGTGTTGGGCCACGGCTGGAGTTCCTAAAAGGAAGAACGTGGGTGGAAGATGGTGGGAGGTTGAGCTGGCCTGTGGAACAGTTGTGGCACACAGGGAATTCCATCATGCCTTCAGACTGTCCTTGTAGATCCTTTTGTGGTCTGCTGTATCTTGGCAGTGAAGACACCATACAGAACAGGGTCGTTCCACAACATATCATCATCTCTGATGGTGCTGCTTGTCTGCGGGCACATCTTTATTCTTAAAAGTGAAGTTTACCTGGGTCTGGCGGCTGAGACCAAAACCCACAGCAGAACAGAAGCAGGCTCTTGAGCCTCCAGGCCAGGGAACATGAGTTTCAGGACAGTGTATCCTTTCAGTTCCTGAAAATAAGAGATCCACTTTTAAAGGGAATTCTTCCCGCCCAATACGTTTGTTTTATCTTGGTCCTTTCTTTTGTGCCAGTGTTCTTGTGGTATAACTGACCAGGTTTACATGTGGCCATAGCTTACACTGTTGCTACACTCTCCTCCAATGAACTTCAGGGTCAGAGTTCAACATAGTCCTCCTGAGGGTATAGGTGTTCCTGATTCGGGGGCCAGGTTTGCACAAGTTGTTTTCATTTTTCCTGGAGTACGTCCAGCAGCTGCTTTGGGTGTTGGATCTTCTCCATCTCCTCATTGCAGCTGTTGGAGTGTACCACCTCTAGGGCCTGGGAGTATGAATCCAGGCTGTTGCATGGCTTGTTGTCCCAACTTGTATGCTGGAGGGACTGGCCAGGGAAGAGGACCAGTTTTTGGACAGTTAAGTGCAAAGGAGCAAGTAGTTTTTATGCTTTCCTAGCTGACCTAAACCTGGTCCTATCAACTTTTGAAAACCTCTCTCTGACTCCTGGGGTTTTCTGTGACTTTGTTCAGTACCTCTCCACTCTTGAGTCTGGCAGAGCTATCTATACTTGACAGGGCTTCCTTGACCTTCTAGAAGAGTTGCTAGGGAGATCTATGAATATTGTGTTGGAAATTCTTTGATAGTCAAATATTTTTACCTCCAGTCTGCAGTTCCCCAGGTACATTGTAAGCTCTAAAGATCTAATCACTCTTGAAAAGAAAACAGCTCTGGTTGTTGGGGTTATGGAGCATATGACTGACTGCAGGCTTCCTTTCTCCCTATCAGGTTTTTGTCTCTTCCTGTTCTCTCCAACACGGGAAGGCCTGGGGGTGGAGTGGGAGGACAAGTTAGGAGTGTAACAAATGAATCCAGAAGTAGAAAGTGCAGAACTAATTGTGAATGAGAGTGCTTGCTGCAGGACCTATGGCTGGAGTGCAAATGCTTGTTAACAGATGAAACATCCTGGCATCTGGTGGACCTGTGTTCAGCCCTGCACCTTAATCACCCTGGGTATCTCTGGGCAATTTTTTGGGACTGTATAGCTACCACATAGTGCACTTGCATTCAGCCGTGGCCCCAACCACTGGAGCTGCAGGAGGTTCTGTGCTCGGACCACAGCCTGCAGCCTTGACCTGTGGAGAACTTCCTTTTGTGCCCCCAGTGGCTGTCCTTTGTTAACATCATCAGAATGATGGAAAAGTTCTGGTGGAATTTTTCTGCCCTACAAAGGATAGAAGATAAAGGCACAGTGTTTTCATGAATTTACCATATATCTTTGTTTTTCTTCAAAGAAAAGGTTAATTGAGGCAATGTCATCTGCTCAAAGTTGAGTGGTTTATTCAAAATAAACTGAAAATTTCTGATTATAAAAGTGTGTGTAGTTTTTCTTCAAAGGATCCACAATACCCCAGGTGATTCTGGCCAGTGGGCACCAAATTAGGCTTTCCTATTGGCCAGCACCTCCTCCAGAGACTCCCTGGAATAGGCCCCATTGACCTTTCTAGCTTTCTGGTGGACATCTATGAGGGGAGTGACAGTTTTGACTTATTTTATTCACAGGGTGCCATAGACATCCCAAGAGTGTGGTAAGGTATTGATGTGCTTGCCTTTATAGCCCTGCTAAAGCCCTAGCCCCTCACTTGGAAGTGCCCTATGTCCTTGTTGTGAGCATAGAGTTATGGACTATCAGGAAGCGTTTAACAGGAAGAGTTAGTGCTTAACAGGGGGCCCTGAGGGTTGTGAATAAAGATCTTGCCATAGACATTGAAAATGTTCGGGGTTTAATCTCAAGCTTAGGGATAGGATATATAATTTAGGTTCTGATTGTGTCAGCAGTCGCAACTTCTCTGAGAGCTCAGGGGTGAGTTCCAGAGCTGGCCAGCAGGCACTCATGATGGTCATAATGAGAGAGGCAAGTCGGAGAACTGGAGCTCTCTCCAGCTGAGCTGGAGCACATGCATTGTATGAAGGAGGCCCAGGTCCAAACCCTGACACTGCATACAAGTCTCTGAGCACCAAGTCAGGGGTAGGAAAGGCCAGAGGAGCTCCAGATACTGCCAGTTTGACCATAGCTGCTCCTTTCAATCTCAGCTATGCCAAGCCCCACATTTGGCACCTGGGCACACAGTAATATGCAAAATATACATTGGCTAGGAGCAGGAGTAGCTCAGTAGCAAAGGATCCACCTTGTAAGCATGAGGCCATGAGTTTTTCTAACAGCACTCCACATACACTAAGCAGTTTGGTATATCTCCAGCATACTGCAATCAAGAGTGACAAGGTATGCTAAAACGTATCACACACAGTCATCAAAACAGAGGGGAAATTAAAGTTTAAAAATTGAGGGCAGGTGATCCTCAGCACCGTATATGGTCCTCTGAGTTGTCCTTTCCCCCCCTCCCCCCCAGAGTGGTCCCTAAGTGCAGAGCCAGGAATAAATCCTGAGCACTGAAAAAAAAAAATTTTTTTTTTTGCCCCACAAGAAACATGAGCTCTACTATCTTGTAGTCTCTCAAACAATCACTAAATGTATTTGGTAACTAGTGAACGTTTCACTATGGCATCTAAGGGCTGAAAGGCTGAAGAACATTACCACAGTATAAGAAACACAGTACCATGGCCTTGACATTGTAAAAAGGAAAAACGGGGGGGGGGGGCTAGAATGATTGTACAGTGAGTAGGGCATTTGGCATTAGCCTTGCATGCGACCAACCTGGGTTTAATCTCCCGTACCTCCTATGGTTCCCCATGCTTTCCAGGAGTGATCTCTAAAGTGCAAAGCCAGGAAAATGCCTTGAGCACGGCCAGGTGTGGCAAAAAAGAAAAACCAGGGCATTAATTCACAGGGATGGAGCACATCCTTTGCAGGCTGGAGTCAAAAAAATAATAGGAGAGGGACCGTGAATTATGGTTCAGTGATAAAGCAGTATCGGCTTCTCATGTGCAAGGTCTTGGGTTCAGTCCCAGCATCACAAAATAAAGTAGGGAATGGATATAGCTCATTTGATCGTACGGGGGCTAGAAGATAGACCAGGGTTCAGGGGACATAGTTTAGATACACTGGGACCTGAGTTCAATCCCCAGCACTGCATACAACCCCAGCTTCCCTCAACCAGCTGGTTCCCACCACTGGGCCCAAACAGCACTGTATCTTTATATGGCTTAGTTATTTAACATAGAATTGGCACTTTACCCCTTTACACCCTCAGCACTCTTAGGAGACCTCCGCTTCCCAAAATGAAGGAGCAGTGCCAGGCATTGAACCAGGGTCACTAAGGGACAGCCACCATTATCCCACCCCAAGGCCCTGAGTCTGACCTCGCTCAGCATGATCTCCCAAGGCCTATGTTTGACTCTAGTGGCCCACGTACAGTTCTGCAAGCATGGGGCCAAACACTATATTGCCACCCCTGAGCACTGCCAGCTGTGCGCCGCCCCCCCCCCCCCCAAACACACACACTAATGTGTTGTTTTATTTTTGGTTTGGGGGCTATTGCCCAGCAGTGCTCAAGGGCTCTGTGCCAAGGGGTGGGTTGGTTCTCAGGGTACCATGAGGTTCCAAGGATTGAACCTGGGCCTCACACATGCAAAGTATGCACTTAACATACTGAGCTATTTCTCTTTCCACTCCACCTTTGGCCCAACAATTTTTAATTTAAAAAAAGAGGGACCGGAACGATAGTAAGGCAAGTTGGATGTTTGCCTTGCACACAGCTGACCTGGGTTCGTTCCCCAGCATTCTATATGGTCCCCTGAGCACTGCTAAGAGTAATTTCTGAGCATTGCAGGGTATGATGCCAAAAAATAAAAAAGAGCATATTTTGCAGCAAAGTCTAGAGTAGATTTTTCCATAGTTCCATGGGTTCGTGAGCATTGCCTATGTACTGGGTTTTACTCATCTTAGGCACTGACGCTGTTTATGTGGTCTGGCTCCCACAACAGTGAGAATAGCAACTGAGCAGCTGCCTAGCCACTTAATCCTCACAGCAGCTTTTGTGAACTGTGCTATCGTAGTCCAAATGACAGCTACTCAAAATGAATAATTTGCCTACAGCCAGTAATAGTTTGCTTTAGAAACTGGAAGTAACTCTTTCTGTAATACAGGTTACTACAGCAAAAAGTTCAGATATGACTATCAGTGATTAGGGGAGGACTTCCACCTGCATGGAGTGAGGCAGTGTGAGAAGTCCTGATCCCCTCACAGTTAACACCAGGAAGACCAGGAAATGATGATGATCCTGTGCAATTCCCAGAGTCAACAGCAGGTGGAGTGTGAGGTGTGTCCTGAGAACTGTAAGGCAAGCAAGCGCCTTTAACCCTTGTGCTACTTCCGCTTCCTTCTTCCACACATACCCTTGCCTTCTATGGTCTGGGGCAGAGTTGCAGAAAATGATGTGCATAAGGAGCTGGATAGGAAGCACAATAGGCAGGCCACTTGTTTTGTACATGACCGACCTGGGTTCAATCCCTGGTGCCCCATATGGTTTCTGAGCCCTATCAGTAGTAATCACTGAGTACAGAACCAG